TTACCATAAGTATGATTAAAGGAAATTAAACCAAGAAAAATGAGACTTTAGCTGCCGTAAAACAAAATGTGATCATTGAAGTAACTTGCTAAAAATATTTGTGTACAAAGTATTTGTGTACATATTCAAGATTTAGAAAACTTTTTGTGTCAAAATGTTGTTTGTTCCAAAACAGTTATGACACAATGATAAAGATATATTAGATGACCACTTTCATACCAAATTTGTTTAAAGTATATTGGTTTAGATTTGATGTGACTGAAATTCCATTTGAGGGATCCAGCTTCTTCTTAGTGGACTCACTCATATCTTTTAACATTTAATACTGACTCAAATACTGTAAAATGATTTTCACTGGGTTTAAATTTCGCTGATTTATCATTTCAGGCATATTCAGGGGGTTTTAAATTCACGGTTTTATCATTTAGATAATGTGTCCAAAATTAAAACCCAGTGAATAATTAACCCTTTTACAGTAATACTGGTCAAATTTGTTTATAGAAAAAAAAATAAACAACACATTCTAAGTAACAGATCTTGGAGAGTTACAGTATAACATCACATTCTAAGTAACAGATCTTGGAGAGTTACAGTATAACATCACATTCTAAGTAACAGATCTTGGAGAGTTACAGTATAACATCACATTCTAAGTAACAGATCTTGGAGAGTTACAGTATAACATCACATTCTAAGTAACAGATCTTGGAGAGTTACAGTATAACATCACATTCTAAGTAACAGATCTTGGAGAGTTACAGTATAACATCACATTCTAAGTAACAGATCTTGGAGAGTTACAGTATAACATCACATTCTAAGTAACAGATCTTGGAGAGTTACAGTATAACATCACATTCTAAGTAAGAGATCTTGGAGAGTTACAGTATAACATCACAAGTACCATTATGAACAATGGCTTATACAAGTAGATAATATTTTGTTTGGTTGCAGATAACAAAATATCTAGATTAAAAGTATGGCCACCAAACAATGCTATTGATTTTTTTATTAAATAATGTTTATGAATTCCTATGAAGATATTTCCATTTTTCATGTTTTCAGACACTTTCTCTTCAGAAAAAATATTTCATACTTTGGGGGGGGGGGGGCTCAAAAGTCGATGACCTGTGTATAAATCAAGGATTATGTAAACATGATGATTTTTTGCTTTTAATAAGTTGAATGACCTCAATATGTTGAATGTCTACATGTGTGTGTCCATGTCACAGCAAGTCACAAGGTAGTGACGACATTCGTTATCAGATATATTTGCATGCTGGACAGGATTACAAAAATGTAAACAAATGACATCACAGTATATATATATAGTGGTGACTGTTGACTATATACTGGTATACATTTGTTTATTCAGATATATCAAATAAACAGTTTAGTTTGTCTACAAATTCAAGTCTGTGTTTGACATATCATAATACCAATACTATACCTTCTCTGTAAATTCTGCATGTTAATTACCATTGTTGCTCTAACTTTAGCAGCCATCACTTAATATTGTTTGTGTAATAATTAGCATGTTTTGAGTATACAGTATTTCTATTTGTATTCAGATTTGAACAGACTGTAAATGATGTCAGAAATGTTACATAACTTGACCAGGCTGTGGTCATTGCACATAATTCGTGTTAACAATGTGTTTTACATGTACGTCAGAAGGGGCCTAATTTGCCATATGTTTTGGTGCTAATTATGCACTTTTTTGTGTCAGGCATTAATATTAATAAATGTGAAGGCCAGATCCAAAAAAAATTTCAAGAGAAAATCTTTTGAATTTTTTGTTCCATAAATAAAGCAAAAAGTGAAGATTTGTTTGGCACAGAATGCATAACCAGGATGATTCTTGGTACCTAGCTGCTCTAGAACAATGCACAAACCTGATCAGTTTAGTGTTAAAATCTGTTCATAAATAAATCAGTTTTTAGCTTTTCAATTAATATCTCATCTACTTATTTTATTTTCATTAATCTTTGTACAGAAATACTCTTTAAGGCAATGTAACAATCTAATTAGTTTTGTGTTTAAATACATTCATACTTTTTACCTACCAGTAATTTGTTTAAAAAATTATTTTTTGGCATCCACCTACATTTTTTTCCTACCAGTGATTTTTAAGAATTAATCATCATATTCTAAACTTCATACAATGCACAGACCTGATTAGTTTGGAGTTGAAATCCATGCATAATAATTACCCAATTGTCACCTATATCTCAAAAACCAATTATTGCATTTCAATAAGACTTGGTATATAAGTACCCAGGGACAATGCTAGTTTTGAAATTCAAGCCTACTAATGACCTAATGAAAATTTGGTACATAGATGCGCTGGGATAATTTATGTACATGATTATACATATTGATTATCTAATTATTAGCCAATTTCTGATATCTCAAAACATCAGATTTAAATTGAACTTGTGGTAGAGTTGTTCTGGAATAAATTAGACTGCAAATCAAAGATGTACAATCAAATTTGTTTGTGGTCACATTGTTGATTTTATATAATCAGAAACACAGTAAATGAATTGTCTGAGAGATATGTCCGGGATATTTACATTGTCACTATCACCATAGTAACAGTGTACAAGGTACATTGTACATGTTACTGCAGCCTATTTGTCATTCATTTTGGCAAGCTTTGGTAGACATTGAAAGAATCACAGAATAACTTCATCTGCACACTTTACAAATATCGTAGTTAGAATCATTGTAATGCATATTTAAGTTCATACTGATATATGGTCAATGTCCCACAATAGCATTATAATATTGATTGATTCACTTGAAACATCAACAAATTCATATTATACTAGTATGTGTATATTAAATAGCATAATTGTATCTGTACATCATAATCTACTTAATCTGTTTATTGTAACTATTGAAAAAAACAATAATATCATGGAAAAACTCTAAGATCAGGTTGATTTCAGTCAAAAGGCCTTGTAGCCTTGTAGCTTTATGCATATATTAAATTAGCATAAATCAGAGGCCGTATATTATTGGTATATACCAGTCATACTACACACACCCTCCAACAACATACTGACATAGTGCCCATAATAGCAAGAACTCGTGGGCTTTTATCCCTGTCACTGTTGTCTCAAAATCCTTACAAATACTGGTTGTATATTTCTTTATGTACTAGGGGATAGTATTGTTATGATTGTTCACAGCAGAACTTATCTATTGATCTGGCGTAATTCAGATGTCATCATAAATACATATCTCAGATAGCAATACATCATAAAAAAATATTAGATATAATTGTGGTAGGTTTATTTTTACCTTGACACTATAAGACATGTCTGAACTGATTTTAATGATCTGTTTATGTATGCCTCATAACACACTATATTGTGTGGGGTCAAGGAGCCACGAGACAATAGTCTTGCATTGTATTATAATGGTTTCCATTAGAAACGCACTTTCTATCTCCAAATAAACACCACCATGTACTGGGCTTGAATGTTAAAGCAGGTAAACCACATTTGTGTAAATGAAAAACAGAATCAAACAAAGCTATAGGTACATGTACTTGTATTTACGTGAATATATGTAGTATGTGCTATATTCACTTTATGAGTGTATACATAAATTTACTACTGCTGAATTGCTTCTTTGTACTCCCCTAGCAGAATTACCATACAGTCATACACATCACCCAGTATTACACCACATATACATGTATAAATTTCTTCAGTTGTTCATAGACCGTATTAAAGTCTTTATTACTTAAAAAAAGTTATGACAGACATACAATATGCTACCACATCTCTGCTGTGGTGAAAAACAACAAAATCCAACAACAAATTTATTGTTTGATTTCCACTGGGGTCTAAAGTTCAAGAACTCTGACAATAACATGGGTCATATCATTATAACATGGGGAATTTAACAAGGAGCAAGGTACAGTAAAGAATTTATTAAAAGTACCACATACCGCACACAAAGGATATTCATATAGCGTATATTTTAAACACCTTGTACATGTATATATAACATTGAACTATATTGCAATATATTAAGCTTCATATTGCAATATAACGCAATGTGACTAAGCATATAAATGAAGCATTACATTTTATAATTTTTTTTTATGATTGTAATACATCCATAAATTTATTTACTTATTCACACAACACTGACTTTGAAAAGCACAGAAGTAAGGTCGATATAAACTACAAAACAATAAAAAAAAATTGTTAACATCGAAATACAGATGGCAGACCAAGAGTAATTGTAAGTCAATATTGCCATAGAGTCTGTGTTCGGACCTAATTGGAGGTAAAATATGTCATCCTTCTGACAAATGTGACTTCATAACCACAATAGTACATCAAGATAAATATTCATTACATATCAACCATTATTATTTCAATGTACAATAAACCACATAAACCATTTCAGTACTAAGTTAAAACATGAAATGGTATCATGTATGTAAATGGACTGCTGAAATACAGACATGGATTGGTAATATTCACTGTGAAAACTTCGGTCAAGGACTGTAACTACATGACAATCTTCTGAACAATGTCTCAAAATACATGGATAGCTGAGCTGACCCTTCTGACCTCATGATTAGAAGAGTTGAATAAAAGATAAGCAATAACCAGTATATTTATCTAAGAATACCAAGATATGTTCATTATGTTATCTGGGGACATCACTAGAGTTTGTTTTTACAGAATAGTAGTGATTACAGGAAGTAGTCCACAGTACAAACTGCATATTCACCAAACTCTGTGTTAACATGAACCCAGTCTAAACTGAAAGATGTTTTCAGTCTTATACTCTTTTGTATAAAAGACCTATGTAAACTTGACTATATAATATATAACTGAAAAAAAAAATATCATATTAATGTTTTTTAGAATTCTAAAAATAAATACATTCATAACCTCTTATATGGCATTGGAAGACACCTTGGACATTGTGGTTCTGCATTTCATTACAAGCACAGAATTCATTTTCAATTTTAAATAATTTTTTTGTTCTACATGTATATCTAATTTAAGATTTTGTTGAATACCACTGACAAAGGCCATTCCAGTGAACCATATGCTGGTTCTAGGAGAGCACAAGAATTAGCCTTGGATAAAGTACATTGCAAGTCGTCAAGCACCATCTTGAATTTTATGTAAACAATGAATTTTACATAAACTGTATGCATCACATATAGAACCCAAACATAGTGCTGTGTGGTGACTTTGCCACTTCAATCAAACCACTACCATGTTTAGTTACGTGTCAACATTATTTAGATCATTCAGTTTTTTTTTGTTACCTCAATCAACAGCAATCAATACCTCAATCAACAGCACTTGTCTCTTGTTAGAATTAGTTTGCTGGTATATTATCACATCATCATGTCACATGGGAAACCAAAGCCAATCAGTGGTCCAAATGAACATCGTACTTTTTGATGATAGGGATTCGCTTGTGGTTCTTTCCATGCCTACAATGGAAAAGAAGTAATCTGTTAGACATTGATTGATCTACGTAGCTTACTAATAAAAAATATACCTTATTAGCCTTACACACCCTTATTACTAGCCAAAATTATTTTCAAAACCCTTCAATCAGAACAAAAGTATATACTGCAAAATTCATTATTTTAGCAGGAATTAATTTTCACTGAAAAAAAAATATTTGGTTGTTTGTATGGAATTTATTTTTCACTAATATTTGACAAGTTGAATGTAAAATATAGGAAAAAAGGTATATTCGTTGGATTGTATTTCACTAGGTCATTCCTTCAGTGAAAATTGCAAAAATAAAGTACTTTACAGTATGCTCCATTAGCAGCCCATTCTCTTACATAAAAGACGCAAGCGGTATTTCGATGGTTACTTCTATCATAGTATACGCTTCTATTAGAGACATGCTTTGAAGCAGTCCTAACAGAATTCAAATTTGCCTTCAGAAAAGCTGTTTACATATTTTATAACTTATAACATATTTACCGAATGTTTCATTCAAATTTATTTGAGACAACTGCATTGGCTATAATAATTAGCATTGTTTTCCACGATGTTTCGTAAAGCCAATCAGATTTTGGTTGATACGCACACACAGATTGGGTCGTCCTTTTCAGGAACATGCACATCCATGGTGATGTACATAATCTTTCTGACTGGTCAAATGGCAGTTTTCAAATTTTATAAATGTTTCATGTTCATAAATCATAAATTTTGTAAATGTTTTTTTTCTGTAAGCACTGTATAATCTTTAGCTCAGATATACCCTCCTTAATAAAGCAAATTATTACAGTATATGTATAATACTGTCTAACCAAGACAAATCCAGTCATAACATTATTACCAGAAATACTAACCTACCAGTAGATAGTTTTGTTAACATACTAGAAAAATGGTAATCCTACACTTATAGGACTGCTGGAGGAAAATTCAAGTTGTTTTTTGTTAGAACCCATTTGATGGCGATTGTGCTATAGAAATAGAACAGATATTAAGAAAAAAAATGAAGTGTTATCATATTAACATGCAAGTGCAAAATTAACATGCATTAATTGGTCAACATGAGTGAGAAGAAATGATATGGTGAGTGTGTCAAGTTGCTAGTTTTTAGCATTATGTATTTACTGAAGTGTAAACAAGGAGACTACCTCCTATTACATACACATGTACATACAAAATAAAATCATATAAGTGATTGGAATTACTATATCTAAAATATTTGTTTTGACTGCGAGTAACTTGCAGAGTACTAGTACTCACCTCGCGTTGCATTTGTTCATATCTATGTTTTCTCTCACGTTGCTGACGCTGGAATTCTCGATGCCAACCTTCAATGTACTTTCTGTAAGAGCATGACCTTTCTGGCGTGTCCTTCACGTCTGGGTCCCAGCAAACATGTCTCTGTCCCAGTTTGTTTTTTCTTTGATTGTCTGCTTCATTGTGTTCGTGTTTCCCGTCACTCAAACACGCCTGGTTTATTTCCAAGTCTCCAAAGTCGGTAGCCATTAGGTCGGGGATCATATGTTCCTCGATATCGACCAATTCGTTCTCGTCGTCTTTGGCCTGACAAGAATCATCATGGTGGAGCTTCTTGAGAATCGAGATCACATTTGCTGGTATTGGCTCGCTGATAATGGTTGGTATGTCATAGTTGGTGATGTCCTCCATCGCAAGTTCTCTTTCTTCATCCGATAAATATGATCCGACCTTTGGCGAAGTGGAAGGGGAGCTACTGGTGCAATGTTCGTCACGACCCCCCTTCTTTGTGATCAATTGTGGGCCATGATGTGTTTTCGTGTCTGGTGAATTTTTCGGCGATGAGTCCTCAATCTCTCCATAAATAAGGTTTCCCTTTTTTTTCGACGATTTCTTGAAAAGATGAAAAAAACCTTTGCCGCACGTCGGACTCGTGGAGTATGTGTGGTACATTATGCAGCTTAACAAATAAGTGCGACGGAAATGTACATGCACTTTGGTTGTAAACAACCACTTCGATGTTAAACTCGTCCAGTGAGTAACAACATTTGTTTCTACTCTCGCCGATTTTACACTTGATTATTCGTCAAAAGAAGCGTACGACCCTCAAAAATCGTATTATTAAATGTATACTTCGAGAAAGGATAAAAGCACGTACCCTCTACTTGTCTGATTATGCGTTGTGTGCCTTCGAGTTGTACAATAACACAGTACGTGACCCAGAATGTTTACAACAATAACATTCAAATTTATGCAAATTTTATTCTAACTCAATCGTGTATGCCGCTGTCTGTGACTTCGGTCATTCCGAGGTCAATTTGATGTATTGTACGGCGTGTATTTTTTTTATATTTTATATATTTAATTTGTATGTTTTTGTATTTTGTATCGCCACATACAAATCCTTCTGAGCTTCGTATCAAAACTGTTTAAAAACTTTAATAAATAATAAAATTAAATTAAAATACTAGTATGTGGAAAATAAATAATTACATGTAAAAAAAGCATATCTTAATCAGTTTGTGATGTCGGTGTGCATGATAATGACGTACCAATCAACTTGAAAACCACCGGCAATTATTGCGTAATACACATATTGTAAATACGAGTTGTAATAACCACAATCGCTTTATCGTCCCCAAATTGTAATGGTATAAACCTTACAGGATATTACTGTGTACGTTTGGTAGTGGTAGCACATGAAACAGAAAATATGGCACTGCTAAGACTTTACAGGAAATGATAGCTAGTGTGGTACATGTGCAAGCCTCTCCCAAGGACATCTATACATTATGTAGTTATCTATAGGATGCATACTCAATGAATTGGGTAACTTTGGAGTGAGTGTTAGAGTTAGGGTTAGGGATGGGGGGTACAAAAGGAACTCTTGCCCTTCAGCAAAATATTGTAAAATTTATTTTAGTATATCGCGGAATTAATTAATTATACATGAATATGAAGCGCATGAATGTGGGCATGATGTATGACGTGTGTGTAGTTTAATTTATACGCTTCTACCAAGTCTGGCACTTTTCAAATTCAAATATTTCCACCTTAATGTTAATGGGAACACTGGCGACCAAAAGCAGCAATATTTCACTTATAATTGACCACGTATTCGTTGTTATGTCATGAGTTGAGTCACACGTGTGTGCGGATGTATAATAATATTTGACTTGACTGTAAAATAATTTTTTTAGAAGCCATATGCATTGCTTGTACACCGTTTGGACAAATGTTGCACGTGACTGCGTACGCAATATGGAAAACAACATTTGCTACTAAAAGAGAATGTGTGCTTATCATAAAAAAAATACAAATAGCATCCGTCTAAGATACGTACATACTGACCAAGTACCGGTTAACAGCTTTAACAGTTCGTCATTTCCTGTTATTCACGCAAACACGCTTATGTAAGTGCCATATAATGAGACGTGTCAACCGTAACAGACGTAAACTTTCGATAACACGATTTTATTTTTTTTCAAAAAATTAAAATGTATGATGATAAAAAAGATATATCCCTCACTTTGTATTTTTGTTGATTGTGGTATAATTGTTATCGTCACGGTGATGTCCAGGCAAGAACACAGTGATGAATTTTGTACATGTTTTATTGAAACTGTATAACAGTATGTATCTCTTGTTTAGGATTCGGTATGCAATATCAGTCAGACTAGGACGCTTGTGCGAAAAAACTTGAGTTGCAATTTTGCGTACCAGGTTATGTGCGACATATACGGTAGATTTTTTTTCTGTTTCAAATATTTTGAGAATTGAAACTTAACGTTCAATTAATGTGTTTGAAAGCATTATTTAATAAATGTTAAACTTTGAGCTTCCCTGGGAGGTGAAGCATCGACCTTTTTGGGAGGGGGACTTATCTCGTACCAAAGACTTCTGTGTAACAACTGAGGTTGTGACGTAGTCAGTATGACGTATGTGGTTAGCTGCCACACCCATTCAGTTGGAATGAGTGCTTCTCACAGCAGTTATCGGGCATTAGTAAAGTGCAATATTATCAAATTGTTTCTTTATTATTCTCATTGAGCAGATTATGATTACTCAGAGTTGCACAGGAAATCATTGTGGTAAACAAACAGATTGCGCGGCGTTCACTGACGTCACCAGAATAGTACATGTTGACCATGCGGGATAAAATATCATTAATATTTTAATTTTTTTTCTGAACCATGTATGTCACAATTCCCATGTCATAGATATGTATTTATGTATATCAGTTTCCCTTATACCAGTATTTGAAAATAAAAATAACAGTTTGCTTGTTATCGTATTCGCCCATAAGAGTTTGTATCTCGTGTTGGTCAACTGACTGATCGTGAGTGTTCTGATCTCACGTTTGAGATTACTTACGTTCTTCGTCATACGAATACTTATATCTTAATGTCTGTTCCATTATATATTGTCGGTAAGGGAAAATGAACATTACGTTCGTTTTCATCTGCCCATCCGTCTGTTTTCTTGTATTATTTATCTTGTTATAATGTTGTATTTATTTCGGACAATGGTGACGTAGTTGCTAGTATTGTGTTTTGTATTGGTAATTCCTCAATTCTTGCTTATTTCCAGCTATCTACCAACATTCATAGTGTGGAATTTGGTATCTTATTGACAATTATGTATGTATCATTTGAATGGGATTTTAATTATTGAACAAATGACTACCCGATAATTTGAGAACTAAATGACCGACTTCTTGTAGATTAAAACTTTATTACATAATCAGGCTATTGGCGAGTTGTACAAAGCAACGCGAATTACAAGTTTAACAAATTAACGCTTGTCCATGAGTACATGGCGTGCATATTTTGTTATTTCCGAAGTCTGTCATTATTTTGTGACACTGTTCTGCGCTGTGACCTCTGTGTCCAGGTGAACATCTGCTGTATCATTCATGTTCTCCATTGTAACGGTAATTCCACAGTCATCCGCCTCGATTGTATTTCTTCTGAACTTAAATATGTTATAATTCCCGTTGCACATTCTGATTACGAACATATAATAAAAAGATGATTCAACCTCAAATTGCAGAAGGAAAATATAACGCAATATTTGTGTTTTTTTTCAAATAAGTTCCCACATAAAATGAAGGTGTAACATCTATATGAACATGGCAGGTAGACACATTTGGTTCAGCGTTGAGGGCGTATGCTCACTTGTCTGCCACTTTCGTAGAATGTTTCCTGTCTGTTATTATAAGGAATCGCGTCAATGATTTTTTGGACCAATATAATAATGTTCCACTCTCTTAAATAAACCAAGTTGTATAGAATTACCCCCCGGAAATGCTACGTTTTAAGCCTATTGTCGATGGGATCGTGCTTTTTTCAATAGGCTGTCTACCGTCCGCTGAAAACATATGAGGAAATAAATGCAAGTTGTCACAATATTAATGTAGATGTATCAGTATGTAGATTGAATAGCCGCAGACATGACGTAATCTACACAATAGGACGATCTATTGAATATACAATACTAAAGCGCCCTCTTTGTGATAGATACTAAATGAAAATTACTTACCTTCGCTTTAAGATATAAACGATGACCAATCCTACAACCGCAATTATAATTAATGCAAGGATAATATAAAATATCCAGGAAATAGAATCTGAAATGCACAATGTGGGAATTAAATATGCCAGTCGTGTGTTCGCAAACATACATTAGTGATATTTGCTGAACTACGGAACAACATATCAGCTACTAAGCACTAATTCATGATATTTGCGTTCATGTGAGTAATTGAAGCTACAAGTTATATCAATAATTATTTGAGTAATTGAAAATAACAATGCACCATAAGTGTAACAGAAAGAGAAGTATACCCAAATTAAAGTGGAAATACCTACCATGTGTGTCGTTAATTACTCCAGTCCCTATGTCGCTCGTCATTTCAACAACTATAAAGTAAAAGTTTTAGTCACTGAACATTACATTGCATTCATTTTGCATTGAACACTTTATTATAATTACCTTACTGATCCGAGTTATTTCAATGATGATATTGACTTCATTTTTAGATCATCAAAACCAAAAAATGTCAAATTTGTTAATAAGCAATATATTATGTTTTTTATTTCATTCCATATTGTCACCCATTACGTTCATTCCCTTGCTTTTACTAATTAACGATCGCGAATACTTCGATATCTACAAATGAGTGCATGATACGAACATATACTTACTTGTACTGTAAATGATCTCTAAATCTGGGTCTTCGGAAAATTCGGTGCTTGTGTGTGACTCGAATTGTCCTATCGTTACGACCACCTTGTCTATGACATTGTAAACATCAGTATAAGAATAACATTAGTCTTGAAACGCCATGTAGGCAATGTAGCTGTATGACATTTTGATTTCTACAATAACCTTACCGTATTATATGAATTTATTAAATGAATAAATAATATTACTATTAATTACAGCAATAAGGCGGTATATAGTTACATATATATAGTATATAGACTGGACACGTTATCACACCCATAGCACGGTTTACTTATACCTTCATATAGGGCTGTTATCTCATCGTCGACTGAAGGTGCCACTGGAGGTAGCGGTAGAACAAATTGCGGTGGTGGGACTTGGCAATGACACAACCCTTTTCCTTTGATATACCAGGGACTATGACACACGGTAGAAACATTATGCGTTGACATAGTCATAACTATTTAGAACTTCCGCTATAAATGTATATAGATTGACAAAAACGAGACACACGTATGCATTAATGCTAAATGTATTAAATAACCCGGCAGATGGGCTTCTATTATTAAACCTAGACGTAGGTTTGACTCACAGAGTACATATCATTATAAAGTCTTCGGGTCTCCTGAAACAGGCGATTATCATGCATATGGGGCCAACTATGTCTTACCTTTGTACCATTTAAGCAAAGTCGGTCAAGTATGTCAGAGAAATGACCAAAATGAACAAATTACGTTTCTAAATCGATTCAGAAGTTAAATCTTGCGTTCTAAGCAGCGACGGAATGACGAATGTTTTACTTGTCCCAATGTGTGTTAGACAAGGGTGCATCCTCGCTCCATCTTTTTGCATCAATGATAAACAAGAGGAATTGAGCAAATGCGACTGGTTTGGATGTGCCATAGTGATTTGTTGACCCGAATTGAGCACTATTTGCTTTCTGGGATATAAAGTTCGCCTCGAAATATAATGTCAAGGCAGTAGACAGGGTTTATATTCAAATCAGTACGAGGACTTGAAAAGATATATAGTTAGGGCAAATTCGTTTTCTTTTGAAACGAGTACTGTTAATAGTTCGACCCCCGAATTTCGCACTGGGAAAGAGACCAAGGCTCCTATTTTCAAATGAAATATGGTATACAATTCTTACAAATGCAGTATACTCGTACATGAGCATTGATCTTTTGGAATTTATAGTCATTATTCTCACAAACGAGTTGTTTTGGTCCGGAAGCTTGGAATCGTGCCATTTACAACATTTTGGCAAGTGCACCCTTCTTGGTCAACAAGTTCTAGGACAATTTATAAGAACATCGGAATCCACAATAGCCTAATCGTTCGATCTGTACATTCTGTGGTTGATGTTGAGAAACCAACCAATCTTTTCAATAGTACTTCAACTGCAGGCTCAGGTAGCAAAGTACTCATCCATTGCGGCCTTATAGCATGGAAAAGCCAGTGTAACCAGGCGTTGTTGTTGTTGCTGCTGACTGGGGTGAATGAAAATAATAATCACACTTTGCTGTATGACATAGACCTCTAATTTAATAACCTTCTCGGCATCAGAATCAACGGTCACTGTGGTTGAATGGCAATGGCATGATAATCCAGAATTTCCTCATTAAGTTGTAAAATGTAACATGGTGGGTATCATTCTCACCAATTTGCACTATCGATTCTGTAGGTTATCAGAGAGTTGTCTTTCTTACCTCATATTTCGACATGTCAGATTCCACAAAAGCGTCTGACAAAGCAGATCTTGAACTGATCACATACTAATCCTAGAGCAAACTAGAGCATTTCTGCGAAAAGGGGATTTCCTATGCATATCATCAATCGCAATTCTCTTTACTGTCTTTTTAGCGCTGCTTCAATAATAACAGCTAGCATTAGCTTCTTGACGGTGTTGACCATTGACGTTTCAATTGATCCTAGGCGACTTATAAACGACATGGAAATAAACGGCAACGCTTGTTAACAAATTTGCTTGGGTGTTGGTGTTGGATTCAGAATAGGCTTCTTCTTTCTTGTCTTTCTGTGTACACTGGAGTGGACAAAACATCTTTCTCAGTTTTTCTGCTATTTGGCTGTGTCAGCCATCTTGAAAAGAACAGCACAGCAAGAACAAAACGAACAAGTAACACAATGTAGCATTCTGCAAAAATTATCAGGAAAATAAAACAAGATTTATGCAGTCTACAAGTCTGTCTCAGTCTCAAGGGAACTATTTAACCTGCTGTCACCCTGAAACCACTTTGACTCATCTTGTCGGCAGAGGGCGCTTCAGATATCATCAGGCTTAAAGCAGTATTACACCGAATTTGTTTAAACAAACATAATTTTAGAACTCTACTGTAACATCTCGTAATGCCACATAATTGGAAATTATTTGTTGATAGGGGAATTGCTTACTAATTTAAATTAAATTAAAATGATTGGGCCAACATTTGCATTACAAGTGATATTAGCAGAAATTGAATTCATCTGGACAATTAAAAATAAATACACATATTTACTGCAACATAATAAACAGCACATTTTAGATTATTTATTACCACAGTTTTTTATATTAAATACTTATACCCTGTATCAATCAAATTGGATTTGCTTCAACAAATAATGACAGAAATACAAGACAATAGATTAAAATCTCTTTAATATAAAATGATTGTTCTACTAGCAGAGTAAGAGTTGCCATAAATATGAATTTTGTTATACCAGCATCAATACAATTTATAAGACCACAGAATGTGATAAAAGAAATACATCTTTATTCACGTGAACAATGAGTTTATTTAACAAGGGAATAAAATCAAAGAGAAATAGAACTACAAAGCACAGCAAAAATAATAAATGTCACAAATTAATACCCAGTAAAAATTCATGACAATAAGCCAGCACTCTCAGTAACATAACATGGGGTAGATCACTTTGATAAGTGAAGGCATTCACTTAGCATTTCAATTAATTGAGTATAAGTATTTCCTACATTTGCGTGTTTGCCTGAGTACAGTCATACGCAACACACAGTCATATGAAACACATTAAAACTAAACATAAAACAATCACTAAAATCACTCGATGTGAACAAATATATTAGAAATATCTTATAGACACTCAATGGATTATTTCTCAATGATGAATTGAATACTATGCTATGCTGTTAATTGGTGCCATCCATAAACACATACAACAATTATTTCACAGTCACTGTAAGCTGCAGAACACAGATCAAACAAAATTGTTTACTTCCTAGGCTACTCAAAAAACAAATATTACTACTAAGTACATTAGTATTGTATTATAGCATTATCAATAGAAGTGAATTTTATAACATTGCTGCAGATTATTCACAATAATGTATCCCATTATTCAGCAAAGCCCTGTACCATGGATCTGAATGCAATATTGTTTTTTGAGGGTATATGTGAAACCAACAATAGACCAACATAACTTTTATTTCCTCCGTGGCAACTTTATTATGAATGTCTTAGTATGTGACGCAAATGAAAGTATCCGTTTTCATTAAAATCACATTAAAACCAGGCACTTTTATTTGATGGTTTTTGCCATACAAGATAGTGAATACGAAGTTTTAAATTAATCAGATTCAGGGGCCAGTAACTGTTGTGGACTTTCTCCAAAGTGTCTTGTTTTTTTTAGTGTCAGCAAATTCACTGGTATTGACAATGCTACAAGAAGATTGAACTCCCTGCCAAACCATATATGTCACACAAAGTGTGTTTTCACCCATAATTGTTCAATTACTGGGTTAAGTTTAAGAAGACACAGGTCAAAGGTGCACTCAGCAATGATATTAGTTAAAATTATAACAGCATGACCAATCACACACCTGGTTGGACAGTGGATTTTTCAAGCACAATTATAAATTATCAGGGTGCAATCATTCCCTTCATACATGCACAAACAAAAATCACTGCAATATTGAGTTCTTTTTAAACTCCTTACAAAACATAAAACTTTTAATTTAATGAAGAAGAAATATAGTACAATAGTACAATATATGCAAATTTTTTTTACGAAACAGAAAATATTTGGGTGTAATTTTTTTTTATCACAGTTTAAATACAGTTTTTAATACACTTGCTATTAAAAAAAAGTCAGTTGATATGCACATTTTGATAACGTTTGGATAAGACCACGGTTGTCGTAACACTGCTACAAATACACATAATACATGTATGCAAATATTGAAACCTGGTAATATTCCATTTCATGTGTTGAAAAGCAATATTCCATTGGAATAAAAGGTAGTGCTTAAAAATAGAAAACATTTCTGACAAGTTAATAACACCATGATAGATAGCGTTTTGAATTATATTTATTATTTATAAAATATACCGTATATATCATCACTCACAATGACTTCACACAACATTAATTAAACAGAATTCATTTCATTAAAAAGCTAAAAAATATCATTTTGACAAGCTCATATAGAGGTTTTGTTGACTATAAGCCTAGCATACACCCTTTGTGCTTCCATATTAGTAGAACAATTCATACCTGCCACAGAGGGCAGTATACAAACCATCCTGACACATTCATTGTAAAATAGAGTAAAGTGATAACCTCTGAATCTACGAAGACAAAAAGAAGGAAGGAAGCAGGACTCTCTATCATTCATTAAATCGAGTGCTGTTTAAAAATTAGAATTGTTGGTTCGTTGAATCTAATCATTTAATCCTAACGAATGAAACACCATAATTCATTCATTTTTTATTAAAATGTTGAAATTCTGTTTGTCCTGGTTGCAGGTCTTCAGCGTTGTGCAGTACCATTTCATGCACTTCAGTCCAGAGGGCGGGAAACTGCAGATGTGGCATTGTCTTCCTCCATACCATAACACAGCTGTGATGTTTTTCTTCCATATTCTTCAGTTTTCTCAATAAGCTTACAACAGATTTATATCGATTGTTGTTCGTACCAATGTCGCGAACTTGAGAAAATAAAAATTGTAAAAACAAATCAAAACAAGAAAAATATACATTTCCACCTGATACAAAATAATGTATGGCACGTGTCACTTCCACCTCGATATGCGAGTAACCAACAGCTGTTGTTATGAGTTATGAAAAGTTTATTCTGCCCAGTATGACATACCACAGCACTATGCAGATCTGATTAGCTCAGCAACAAGTATATATACAACATTAAATAGATCAATTCAAGGTTGTGAAGATGATACTTACTTGCAACATAGATGGCCAATGCTTCGTTTAATTGATTTTGTATCTTGTATACACTTTCTGGATCTTTCAATTTTGACCTGTCTGGAATAAAAAGAGAAACTGATGTCAGTATCCATGACAAGTAAATGATAGCAACATAATAAACCAGACTGGGAGGAAATACTATGTGTACAGTAAAAATTTAACCCAAGGCGTTGATGATGATGTAGGTTACATTGCACAGTTTGAGGCCATCGTGAGACAGGTTAGTTTCACCCTAGTGACGGATAAGTAGTGGAAGGTGATCTTAACATGACAATGATATCAGGCAGTATGAAAATTGGGCTGGAAAAAATTTGACCAAAAGTGAACTACAATATTGGTCCCAAAAAGTTCCCAAATAGTAAAGCAATACTAGTATATTAACCACAATATTCTTCAATCAAGGTAAAATTGGATAGGACTTCTGTGTGATGAGGGTTTTGCAGGCATGAAATATTCAAAATCAATTAAAAATTGAAACTGGAAACTTGTCAGCTTATAGTATAGCTTTGGTCTTTAAGAGCCACAATGCAGCCTTACTAACAATGGTTTCACAATATATAGTATAGCTTTGGTCTTTAAGACCCACAATGCAGCCTTACTAACAATAATTTCACAATATATAGTTCCAAAAATGTTGCTTCATTCTCAGCATTTATTTATCATGTTTTATTTCAGCCAAATTTCAAGCCATTCTTGAAAATTATACAAGTTAGTCACATCAAAAATGATATTTCATATTTGACAGTGGTTGCTAAAATTGTCAAGTTTATAATGATCAGATACAAATTATTTGAATTGTCATAACCACACTGTAGCATTTTCATCAAGACAATTTTACAGGCAATATATACAACAAGCAGCCTATCGGCTGAGATAGCTCCGCTGTTAGCAATGCACATTTCAATTAAAGAAGTGAAGACATCATTAGAAAATGAACAATATGAATAGTATCAAAGCAATCGGACTTACAGTTTTTAACAAGAAGTCGAAAATATCACTTTTTACCAAAAATTACAAAAATATTCACCAAAATAAATTAATTAGAGAATTGAAGATATCATCACAAAACGAACAAATCTGAGAGAGGTCCACATGTAGTACCTATATATGTAATATCAAAGCAATCGGACTTACAGTTTTCAACAAGAAGTCGAAAATATCACTTTTTACCAAAAATGACAAAAATATTCACCAAAATTAGAGAATTGAAGATATCATCACAAAATGAACAAATCTGAGAGAGGTCCACATGTAGTACCTATATATGTAATATCAAAGCAATCGGACTTGCGGTTTTTAACAAGAAGTCAAAAATATCACTTTTTACCAAAAATGACAAAAATATTCACCAAAATTAGAGAATTGAAGATATCATCACAAAATAAACAAATCTGAGAGAGGTCCACATGTAGTACCTATATATGTAGTATCAAAGCAATTGGACTTGCGGTTTTTTAACAAGAAGTCGAAAATATCA